ATTAGCAGGTTTGGTTTTCTTTGTATGTTGTTTATTTGTTAGTTTTTGTTTATAATTGAGGTAAGGCGTTTCTGAAGATACAGGCAGACTTCTTTTATTTGAGTATTGGCGGGAAGTGTTCTTATTATTATCCACAATAATTAGTTTGTCATATTTAATGAAAGCTGTTTTGCCTAGGTCTTTTTCTTTATCTTCAGTTGGGCTTGTAACTCCTTGCGTTTGTTTAAGACTTTATTTTTTCCTCTAGTTCATGATAGGATTTTTCACCTTTTTCTACTCCGAACATAACCAAGTTCTTGCGCCTAATATGTCTTTCTAAATTATTTATTGAGGAATTTTTTATTTCTAAGTGTTTAAATTTCTCATTAAAGTATATTATTGTTGATTGTATTTTTAATGTCTTCTTTCATTTCTAACATTTCTGTTTTCTGCTGTCTTATTTCTTGTTGTATGTTTATTAGCAACTTTTTTATCTCCTCCATCTTAAGTGTGAAGTCGGAAGTAGAAAAGCTGATTGAAAAAGAGCACCAATTATACCTAGTTGAATTGCAATTTTATACAGAGTATTATTTTTTGAGGTTATAAACTTATGTTTTAATATTTTACGCTTTCACTTCACAAATTATTTTGTTTTATTGTCATCACACACAGAAAAGATGGTTATGCACTAATAGTATCTGTATGTTATGTTTCTCACTTTTGTATTTGTTTGGTAGGTGAATTTTTAAAAGCTCATTTGTTCTTCAACACATCAAGACTTGGTGATATTTATAGATTAATATTTCTTAAAATTATTATTAAACTAATTAGAATTTATCATTTTCTTTAGATTATTTCCACTTAAATATTTTTAAACTTGATGTAAATACGGACACGATATTGACAGTTGTACAGTGGCGCCTCCCACCCACCAGAAGTGACAACTGACAATGCAAAAATTGTGAAAGCAGCAGAAAAATGCAAAAGAAAACCGCATGAAAATTCGAAAACACGCGTTTTTCCAGACATAAGACTAATCTAGATCGATTTTACGCCCCCGAAACCCTTTGTATACTAAATTTCATGAAAATCGTTGGAGCCGTTTTCGAGATTCAGATTATATATTGAGATATATATATATATATATATATATATACAAGAATAGCTCGTTTAAATATATAAGATATTGTTTTTTTATTGGTTTGGGTTAGGTTTGGCGAAAAATATTCCAATGAGTTATTAGATATTATTCTTTCATGTATATCAATTTACACAACGACGATCGATTATATGTATATATTGTTTTTTTTTTTGGTTTGGGTTAGGTTTGGCGAAAAATATTCCAATGAGTTATTAGATATTATTACTTCATGTATATCAATTTACACAACGACGATCGATTATATATATATTGTTTTTTTTTTTGTTTGGGTTAGGTTTGGCGAAAAATATTCCAATGAGTTATTAGATATTATTACTTCATGTATATCAATTTACACAACGACGATCGATTATATATATATTGTTTTTTTTTTTTGGTTTGGGTTAGGTTTGGCGAAAAATATTCCAATGAGTTATTAGATATTATTACTTCATGTATATCAATTTACACAACGACGATCGATTATATATATATTGTTTTTTTTTTTTTTGGTTTGGGTTAGTTTTGGCGAAAAATATTCCAATGAGTTATTAGATATTATTACTTCATGTATATCAATTTACACAACGACGATCGATTATATATATATTGTTTTTTTTTTGGTTTGGGTTAGGTTTGGCGAAAAATATTGTCTTTCAATCTGCTTATCATTGCATTGTTTTTACTAAATTAGGTAGTTTTAGCTGTATATCTTCCTATTTCTATAGTCTAAGTATAATTAAGTCTTAAATTAAAAAAATTCATTTATATATTATAATCACTTCAAAAAAAAAATGTTTCTAAATTTCGTCTAAAATTGTTTTAAATACATTGTAATTACGTCTAGTATACCTCCCCATACTTTAATTCCCCAATATACACCGGGAAATTGAAAAATCACAATAATACCTAAACCGAGGTTACTTAGGCGATAGAATTCTTCATACATTATTGCATATATAAAAATTTTAAAAATGTCTTTCAATCTGCTTATCATTGCATTGTTTTTACTAAATTAGGTAGTTTTAGCTGTATATCTTCCTATTTCTATAGTCTAAGTATAATTAAGTCTTAAATTAAAAAATTTCATTTATATATTATAATCATGTTAAAAAAATATTTTTGTCTAAATTTCGTCTAAAATTGTTTTAAATACATTGTAATTACATATAATATACCTCCCCATACTTTATTTCCCCAATATACACCGGGAAATTGAAAAATCACAATAATACCTAAACCGAGGTTACTTAGGCGATAGAATTCTTCATACATTATTGCATATATAAAAATTTTAAAAATGTCTTTCAATCTGCTTATCATTGCATTGTTTTTACTAAATTAGGTAGTTTTAGCTGTATATCTTCCTATTTCTATAGTCTAAGTATAATTAAGTCTTAAATTAAAAAAAATCATTTATATGTATATTATAATCACGTTAAAAAAATATTTTTGTCTAAATTTCGTCTAAAATTGTTTTAAATACATTGTAATTACGTCTAGTATACCTCCCCATACTTTATTTCCCCAATATACACCGGGAAATTGAAAAATCACAATAATACCTAAACCGAGGTTACTTAGGCGATAGAATTCTTCATACATTATTGCATATATAAAAATTTTAAAAATGTCTTTCAATCTGCTTATCATTGCATTGTTTTTACTAAATTAGGTAGTTTTAGCTGTATATCTTCCTATTTCTATAGTCTAAGTATAATTAAGTCTTAAATTAAAAAAAATCATTTATATGTATATTATAATCACGTTAAAAAAATATTTTTGTCTAAATTTCGTCTAAAATTGTTTTAAATACATTGTAATTACGTCTAGTATACCTCCCCATACTTTATTTCCCCAATATACACCGGGAAATTGAAAAAAACAGCTAAACGCAACTGATACAGATAACTTAATTAAAGAATTCACCCACATCATTCAAAAAACATGCAATAGAACACTCCAATCCAAACCTAAATACAAAACACGCATTCCGTGGTGGAATGAGGAACTGGAACACCTCAAAAAACACCTCATAAAGCTCGACCATCGAATTTCCGACCTCAAGCGCAGCAATAAGCCAATCGATAATATATTAAGAGAGAGAGAGGAAGCCAAAGCCTCTTACGTGGAAGCCCTGACAAGGGAATCCACGAAGAGTTTCAGGGACTTTTGCGAGATGCAGGACAAGGAGAACGTTTGGTCCCTGACAAACCGCCTCCTCCAGCGCACTTCGCGCTTCACCCGAGCGAACACGTCACTATAGGTTAGGCGCTCTGTCGCTTCTGGCTGTAGCCTAATGACCACCGCCGCAGATCTCGGTGGGCGCAGCTTGGGCAGCTTGGACTTTTGTGTCCTTTGCTCCGACATCTTTTTCTTGGCCCTTTCCTTCTTTTTAGAGCCCTTCTTTACCACAACGCTCCACTCCTCCGACAGATTGGCCGGAGCAGGTTGCAAAGGACGCGGATCCTGTGGTGCGGCTTGCAGGGACGCACTTGCCTTCTTCTTCTTCCCCTTGGGCTTCTTCTTTTTCCTTTCCTCTATTGTAGGATTTATTTGCGCTGCCAAGGGGGCGGTTGCAGTTCTCGTCTCATCCCGCGAGGGGTGAGCACGTTGCTCCAGCAGGAACCGATCTTCAAATGCCTTCAAACGCACATTTAGCATAGTTCCGACTTGGACCATTATAGCTTGCGCTATCTCCTCCGTACTCCGAGCTGAAACAGTGGGAGGTGGTTGAGGTAGTGGCGCTGCTCGTGATTTTTCGAGCTCCAATCTCATTGCTGCCACTTCACTCCTCAGCCCAGTCAACTCCGTTTGCAGCTTTTCATTATTTGCCCGGAGCTCTGTTATCTCCTCTGTTGCAGTGCGCTGTTCAAGAGTCTCCACGGCGCCTGCAATTGTACTGGCCGCATCTTTGAGGGCCTTCACAAAACCGCCCTTCAAGTTGCCGGATTTTGTTGCAACCATCTCAATCACCTCCAGGCTATTTTGGACCATCTCTTGCAGCTTTGTTACTAGTTCGGTCTCCTTATTAGCTCCAGTCGCCTTAGCTGGTAAACGGGGACTGGTTCTGGCCTTGAGTGCCGACACCTTCTCTGCTACCTCCTTTTGGGCTCTGAGTCTGAGCTCTTCCCTTCTAGCCTCGTTGAGGGCTCGCTGAGCTTCCGCCAATCCCACATATTGGCCTGTGGTGGGTGGCCGCCCCCTTGCGCGATTAACCGCAGTTTTCTCATCAGGCCTCTTGTCGTCTTCAGGTGATCCTGACGAACTTCGGTAGCCTTGGGCTGCTATACCTTTACGGAGCACGCTGCCAACACCCTTCGTTGACCTGGTTCTAACTCCGCCAGTCTCTGGCACTACACTAACACCGCCCGTCACTGGCCTCCTCAAAACTCCACCCTTCTCGGGCAACACTCCGTCTCTCCTTCTCTGCATCTCTCCGCCCTTCCCGGGCTCCACTCCGACATCACAATGACCGCAATTGTCCCCCCCAGATTCTCGGGACAGCACGCCGTAGCGTGGAGGGATTCCTCAGTGCTTGCACTGATACCCTCCTGGGGTAGTTTCATTTTATTACTGGCCATCATGAAGAAGAAAGGCTGATCCACAGCTTCGGCTTTGTTTAGGGTGTGCTCCCCTAGGCCGTGGGGTTAACGAACCCCTAAAGGCACGGCCATGCCTGCTGGTTTTGGTCCGCGCCGGTTGAACCGGTACCACCAATGTGGTGGCATTCCCCTATCCGCCACCCGGGGGACGCGCCCAGTAGCAGTCCAGCAACTGCCCTGAGTTTTTTCTTAAAGATAGTACAAGCTTATAATCTAATCCTTCGCAAGGCCCTCTTTCAGTAGCGTCGGGGTCTTTTCTTGTGGGTGCGCTCCTACTCTTCTTCGGAGTCGGTGTCGTGCGACCTCCTGTGTCCGACTGGATATCCTAGTGTCATTAACTTTTGTCGTGTTTCTTCGGTTATTTCACCCATGGCGGCCACCGCCATCTTGGTGATGTACCTATCGATCAGGAGTGCATTCTGTACTTTGTTAGGCTGGGAGACGTGAAAGTTTTCTCCTATTAACTTATTGGCTTTGGCATAAGCTATCGCCGCGTAATAGAGGTCGGGAAAGTGTGCGTGATTCAGCTCGGGATGTGCATTTGGGTTTCTTACTCTACTGTAAGGGAAATTTGGGTCTTCTCTCTCTGCAGCTTCCCATCTTTGTTTCAGAAGGAGGGCCTGGTCTAACACTGAAGGTATCTCAAGCGCACGGCAAGGGGTTTTGCTGAATTTCTCCATGAACTCTGCTGCCTTGAGAGAGGCGTACAGACCATCCTTAACTGAGCTATTATAGCCCCCTTAATACCGGTTTCATCTGTCATCGTCAAGACCCTGTCTACAATCACTTGCCGCAGATCGCTCCTGACCGCGATGATACCTTGAAACCTTGTGGCTGTCTTAACTACTCCAGTCCATGAGCCCATGGCCACCAAATCTTGTATGGAAAGGGTGACAAGAGCTGTGGACCACCGTTTCTGGTAGGCAGCTGAGTTCATGGGGGTCACTGGCTTCGCCAATGTCATTAATGAAGTCAGCACTAGGGCTAAGACACCCTGATCCTTTTCTTCCTGAGGGCGGTCTTTTATTTCGGAGGGAACAGTCGCATTTCGTGCTCCAAATATGCATTGGGTTGTAAAGGGTCCCAGGAAGGAAAGGATTGTGGACAACATCAGGTCATCGGTATATTTGACCTCCCCCATTACCAGCTCTCCTCCTCTTTCGTGGCATGGTTTCCAATTGATTATGTATGTGTAATCCTTTTTGCTTCCCACTTGGAGCTCTGTTGTGGTTTCTGGGATTGTGTACACCATGGTGCCCTCTGTGAAATGCTGTTTTTATGTTTTTGTTTGTCCTGTAGCGGCTTCGTTGACATGTGCTTAGGTCGATAACCTTCTTTTTTTTTTAATTTTTTTTTTTTTTTTTGACGCTGGGGAAACCCATCATGGGGACCCTACCGGCCGTCAATGGGTAGGGTACTGTGAGACTCCTACTCACTAAAACCCACAGCGGAACCCGTCGCCGCAGTGCAATGGGGTGTGCAGGATCGCTTGCGCATTCACTGCAACACCCCTGCGGACAGCCCGTACCCCGCGGGCCTGCCTCGCCTAAACCGGGATGCCCTCGATTCACAGAGCATCCCGACCGCCCCGATGACGTGTAGGGGAGTCAACGAGAGACCCCCCCCGCAGTAGCTCCTCTAGGGTGGCGGGAGAAGATGCGCGTACCGGCGCCTCCTCTCCCCCAGTCAACGGCGACGAAGAGGGTCTGCTAAGGCGTTAGCCTCGCGTTCCCTCTCCGCCGTCTCCTTCAGTGAGATGACGGCCTCGCTGAAGGAGACCATCGCCGACCAGGACCTCTCGTCGCGTAGCATGGCCCCCACCACGCTTCGCAACGACAGGTCTCCACCCACTACCGCCATCAGGGCATGGCGCTGGGGAGCCCAAGCGGCGCATACCGCGAGGGTGTGGTGCGAGATGTCCTCAGACGCACCACACTCGTGGCATACGGGCAACGGTTCCCGACGCGCAACTTGACACAGATACTTACCAAAGCACCCGTGCCCGGTAAGCATCTGCGTCAACCTGAACGTCAGGACGCCGTGTGGCCGCCTGACCCAGCGAGACAGGAACGGACGAACCGCCCCCACCGTCGCCAGGCCAGCCGCTGGAGTCCCCAGATCTTCCCACCAGCGCCGGATCAGTGCCTCGTCAGCTAGGCGCCTGATCCGAGCGACTCCCTCCCGCGCTGGACGTTCCCCTCGAGCCCGCTCACTCGACCGAAACTGGTACACTTCGGCGAGCACCTCCGCCTGGAGTTCCCAGGGCGGATCGCCCGCCAGAAGTGTCGCCGCCGTTAATGACACCGTACGGTATCCCCGCACCGCCCTCACCGCCAGGACCCGTTGCGCCTTGCGCAATCGTCTCTCGAACTCAAGTTCGCGGTCCTCCTCTTCCAGCTCCTTTAGCTCGCGGCGCGCGCGAGCAACGCCCGAACTCCCTGCACCTCCAGCGCCCTTCTGGGACGCTCCCTTCCGCGCCTTGACCACCCTGGCGCCAACGGTCATCTCCGTTTCCGTTTCGGACCCGGAGGAACTTACCAAAGGCGGTAAAGGGTGGGCCCGCTTTCGCCCCACGGACGAGTCGGTGTCCGCACCCTCGGACGTGTCTGAGTCCATGCCTCAGACACACCAACACACCCAAACACAAAGAAAAACGCACACAATGTCAACAAAAGCCAAATCACAAGTAAAATCCAAAATCCGTAAGAAAAGCCAAAAGTCAAAACATGTATTGCAAGAATCAAAGTCCGGTAGTCAAATCCAATCGATAAATATCCAAAACACTCAACAACAAACCCGTAATCGCAAGATCTTAGGTCGATAACCTTTTTTTTTTTTTTTTATAGTTGGGAAATCCTATTACGGATACCAACCGACTTCCCCCCCAGGGTGGTTATGTGGAGACTCTCCGGCTAATGAGACCGGCATACCCACTAAAACCCAACTTTCCCCACAGCCGCCATGTGGGACGCCACGGGACCGCTTTCGCATACAACCGTGACGCCCCGACGGTTGGCCGAAGCCACCAACCATGAGGCCGCCCCAAGCGGGACGACCCCATTATGGGACGACTTGCAACCCTGACAAGTGAGACTGCTCCCAAGTCCACTCTGCTGAACAGAGAAGTACCAGGAGCAGCCCCACACAACCAAACACCGCCCACCGAAGTGGGCAACCTGCAAAAACAAGCGGCCTAAGCCTAAACCTTCCTGCCCAAATTGGGCAAACCTCCACGGCGTCCGAAACCGAACCACCCCAAACGGCTGCAGGAGTAGAGGATGCGACAACGCCGATACTATACATGAAGTAATAATATCTAATAACTCATTGCAATATTTTTCGCCAAACCTAACCCAAACCAAAAAAAAAAAACAATATATATATAATCGATCGTCGTTGTGTAAATTGATATACATGAAGTAATAATATCTAATAACTCATTGGAATATTTTTCGCCAAACCTAACCCAAACCAAAAGAAAAAACAATACATATATAATCGATCGTCGTTGTGTAAATTGATATACATGAAGTAATAATATCTAATAACTCATTGGAATATTTTTCGCCAAACCTAACCCAAACAAAAAAAAACAATATATATATAATCGATCGTCGTTGTGTAAATTGATATACATGAAGTAATAATATCTAATAACTCATTGGAATATTTTTCGCCAAACCTAACCCAAACCAAAAAAAAAAAACAATATATATATAATCGATCGTCGTTGTGTAAATTGATATACATGAAGTAATAATATCTAATAACTCATTGGAATATTTTACGCCAAACCTAACCCAAACCAAAAAAAAAAAAACAATATATATATAATCGATCGTCGTTGTGTAAATTGATATACATGAAGTAATAATATCTAATAACTCATTGGAATATTTTTCGCCAAACCTAACCAAAACAAAAAAAAACAATATATATATAATCGATCGTCGTTGTGTCAATTGATATACATGAAGTAATAATATCTAATAACTCATTGGAATATTTTTCGCCAAACCTACCCCAAACCAAAAAAAAACAATAAATATATAATCGATCGTCGTTGTGTAAATTGATATACATGAAGTAATAATATCTAATAACTCATTGGAATATTTTTCGCCAAACCTAACCCAAACCAAAAGAAAAAACAATATATATATATATAATCGATCGTCGTTGTGTAAATTGATATACATGAAGTAATAATATCTAATAACTCATTGGAATATTTTTCGCCACACCTAACCCAAACCAAAAAAAGAAAACAATATAATATATAATCGATCGTCGTTGTGTAAATTGATATACATGAAGTAATAATATCTAATAACTCGTTGGAATATTTTTCGCCAAACCTAACCCAAACCAAAAGAAAAAACAATATATATATAATCGATCGTCGTTGTGTAAATTGATATACATGAAGTAATAATATCTAATAACTCATTGGAATATTTTTCGCCAAACCTAACCCAAACCAAAAAAAAAACAATATATATATATATATAATCGATCGTCGTTGTGTAAATTGATATATATCTTATATATTTAAACGAGCTATTCTTGTATATATATATATCAATATATAATCTGAATCTCGGAAACGGCTCCAACAATTTTCATGAAGTTCAGCACGCAGGGGGTTTCGGGGGCGATAAATCGATCTAGATTAGTCTTATATCTGGAAAAACGCGAATTTTCGAATTTTCATGCCATTTTCTTTTGCATTTTCACAATTTTTGCATCGTCACTTCTGGTGAGTGGGCGGCGCCACTGTGCAACTGTCAACATCGTGTCCGTATTTACATCAAGTTTAAATATATTTAAGTGAAAATAATCTTAACTTCTAAAGAAAAATTAAATCTAATACAAGTAAATTTTTAAATAAAACCTATGGGCAATATGTAAACATCACCAAGTCTTTGATGTGTTGAAGAACAAATCAGCTTTTAAAAATTCACCTACCAAACAAATACAAAAGTGACAAACATAACTTATAGATACTATCAGTGCAAAACCATCTTTTCTGTGTGTGATGACAATAAAACAAAATAATTTGTGAATTGAAAGCGTCAAATATTAAAACATAAGTTTATAACCTCAAAAACTAATAGGTAGGTACTCGGTATAAAATTGCAATTCAACTAGGTATAATTGGTGCTCTTTTTTAATCAGCTTTTCTACTTTCAACTTCAAACATAAGATGAAGGACATAAAAAAGTTGCTAATAAACATGCAACAAGAAATAAGACAGCAGAAAACAGAAATGTTAGAAATGTTAGAAATGAAAGAAGACATTAAAAATACAATCAACAATAATATACTTAAATGAGAAATTTAATCAGTTAGAAATAAAAATTGAAGTTCTTGAGAAAAAACTCCAGGAACAGAGTACCTCAATAAATAATTTAGAAAGACATATTAGGCGCAAGAACTTGGTTATGTTCAGAGTAGAAGAAGGTGAAAAATCCTATCATGAACTAGAGGAAAAAATACTCTTAAACTAAACGGAAATAAAAAAGAAGTATGCCTGTATCTCCAGAAACGCCTTACCTCAATTATAAACAAAAACTAACAAATAAACAACATACAAAGAAATCCATACCTGGTAATATTAAAGACTTTATATTACAAAAACCAAAATTAACTTTCAACCACACAAATGATAACCAGGAACAACTAAAAACAACACAGCAAGAGATATAGTATATTAAACACCGTAGGAACCTCCTCATCTTTATCCACCAGTACGGCCGGTCACTGTGGGGGAGTTCGACCGTAACCCTCTAAAGAAAAACAGACATACAATGAACAAAGGTATACATATCTTCACCAGAAAAACTTCTAGAATTAAAAGCAGCATTTCCTACAACAAATCAAAAGAACACAAAGATAAAATTATAAACTTTATAGGCATATCAGAAACAAATTATATATTGAAAACAAAATTTGAGAGAGAGAAACCCTTTGCAATCATACAAGCATAATCTCCAACGGAGAGCTCTATGCAGGACTACTTTGGAGGAGGCTTTTAACCGAGAGGGGTCTATACATGAAAAAGACATTTACTAAATAAATACATTTAATTATGAAATTAAATACCTAATTTATAACTATTGTCAGAATTAATGTATGAAAAGAAATTTTATTTATATTTATTATTGTGAAATGTTTAGTATTTACTCAATTAAATTATTTAATTTATTGTGATTGTTTATTTATTTATTTGTTAATGATAATTTATATATATACAATATCATTTCAAATAATATGAAGATTTTTAAAATAATTTAATTCCAGATTACAAAATTATTAGTTAAAAAATTATAAGTTAATAAATAGTCACTAAATTATATAATTTTATATTTCAGCAATGTGATATAGACATTTTTTTTATTGTACAACTAAAATGGCTCCTTATATACTCTTAACCAAATAAAATTTTAATGGAATACTTTTATAAAAAGCTGTGCATACTTTTAAATTAAATTTATATACAGATAGGTAAAATTATAATGTTAGATAAATGTTTTTATGTAAATTTAGTTAGTAAGCCTTTATAATAAATAAATGAATAAATAAATAGAGCTTTATTATTTTTATAATTTCTTTTGCATTATTTCAATAAATTAATAATTAATAATTTCACGCAAAATATTATGTTCGATAATTTCGCACACTCAGATATAAGCATCATGGTCAAGCGGCCAATGCGCAAGTTTGACAACCACGGGTATCTGGGTTCGTATCCCGGTCGGACACAAAGTTTTTAATTTTGTTTATTTTTGTATTTATTCAAATTCTTAGTTTGTTTTTTTTAATGTTTTTTTTTGGCCAAAAACTCCGAGCGAAGCTCGGTCGCCCAGGTACTGTAGTAATAATATCTAATAACTCATTGGAATATTTTTCGCCAAACCTAACCCAAACCAAAAAAAAAACAATATATATATAATCGATCGTCGTTGTGTAAATTGATATACATGAAGTAATAATATCTAATAACTCATTGGAATATTTTTCGCCAAACCTAACCCAAACCAAAAAAAAAAAACTATATATATAATCGATCGTCGTTGTGTAAATTGATATATATGTAGTAATAATATCTAATAACTCATTGGAATATTTTTCGCCAAACCTAACCCAAACCAAAAAAAAAAAAAAATATATATAATCGATCGTCGTTGTGTAAATTGATATACATGAAGTAATAATATCTAATAACTCATTGGAATATTTTTCGCCAAACCTAACCCAAACCGAAAAAAAAACAATATATATATATAATCGATCGTCGTTGTGTAAATTGATATACATGAAGTAATAATATCTAATAACTCATTGGAATATTTTTCGTCAAACCTAACCCAAACCAAAAAAAAAAACAATATATATATAATCGATCGTCGTTGTGTAAATTGATATACATGAAGTAATAATATCTAATAACTCATTGGAATATTTTTCGCCAAACCTAACCCAAACAAAAAAAAACAATATATATATAATCGATCGTCGTTGTGTAAATTGATATACATGAAGTAATAATATCTAATAACTCATTGGAATATTTTTCGCCAAACCTAACCCAAACCAAAAAAAAAAAAACAATATATTATTGGATCAGAAGTCAAATATCAATTTAAAAAAAATATTTTATTAAACCAAAATTAGTCTTTAACATTAATTTTACAAGTAATCACAAATAGTTAACTTAACATTATTTAATTACAGTAATTAAAGCAAATAAAGAAACACTTCAACATATTCTAATAAAACTCAAATAATTAACACTCACAAGTCACGCCGATACACTGACCGACATAGCGACCGCACGCGAAGTTCAATACACCAAGAAGTAAACTGACACAATAGATGCACTGGCTTATATAGGAATTACCCCTACTCTTCTTACAGAGATCCTTATGATCTCCTACACGGCCTCTCCTGACTAGGCGTCGCCTACGACGGCATCTTGTATATCTGGCAGTGCTAACGGTGGTGCAGGGTTGTCATGTCCAGGCGCTTCTTCGTTTATGTCTGACGGGGATTGTGTGCTTCCTTCGTTAGTGATCTCGTCATCTGTAAAACAATGCAATGATGCAGTAAGAGTGATTTATCTAATCGCTACCTATCTATTTCATACGTCTCGCTAACAAGGCCCTCAATCATCGATCGCCACGCATTTCATTAGCTAAAACCTTTTTAAGGCGATATATATCCATACATCTTTCGTTTAGAGTTCATTCTTCATATCTGTTACCAAATCTACTCAACATAGCAACATACTCATATACACATGATTGGCAAACATCCCGCAGTTTGTTGCCTATAGGATCGTCCCGCAGTCCGTCCTCTACATGTTAGGCATCCCGCAGTCTGCCTTACTCGTGGCGTCGCGCAGTCCACCACGAGTTTTGTCATGACACACAACGTCCCGCAGTTCGTTATAAAAAACATGCAGTGTCAATAGAACAACTGCCTATTAATCTTACGACTTACGATCGAAAAAGGCGGCACATGTCTCCGGACACCATTCTCCACGCCAAAGCACCATATACTGGGCGGCAGCCTGCGTGGTTTTCCCGTGAGAACCACTTAACAAACGTAGTTCGTATCGACCGCTCGGTAGTGTGCGGATGACCCTATAGGGGCCCCGCATACCTGGATCTAATTTGCCTGTAGACTGAGAAGGTTTTATAACAAACACAAGATCATTGACATTAAAAACTCGCGGAGGGCGCCTGCTTTGGTTTACATAGGCATCCTGTTGAGCTTGGTTTCGGCGGAGCAACTCGGCAGCCCGACTGCGCCGGAGCTCACGGCGTGCTTCGCAGTTCGGAGAGGTGTTTTCCACGGCCACTTCACGTACAAGCGCCTGTATCACCGGTGTCGCTGCCTCGCATCCAATTAACAGGTTGAGGGCAGAAGCCTGTGTAGTTTTCTGTTTTGTGATGTTCAGGGTCAACTGTAACTTCCAGAGGGTGTCAGCCCATGTTGCGTCTCTGTGATTGACTTCAATGCGGATCAAGTTCAGCACAGTACGTGCGTATCGTTCCACTTGACCATTTGCATGGTGCATCTCCGGTGTGATGTAGTGGATCGAAGAGCCTATCTCGTTGACAAAACTCACGAATTTAGAAGATTCAAACATTCTGCCTTTGTCGGTCACAATTAGCTTAGGAACGCCGAAAAGCGAAATAGCATTACTAAAAACCCTGAGTAGTTCGTCCACGTCTTGTCTATAAATGGGATAGAGTAGGGTGTACTTCGTGAAAGAATCTACAAGTAAGAGTACGAACTTAAAGCCTGTAAGCGACGCATTATAAAAAAAGTATTATATTTGTATATTTTATTTAGTTATGTTTGTAGTAAGTATAAAAATGTTATTAAAGTTATGGTAAACGGTTTGTAATGAGTGTGAACGATATGGATGCGAAGGGGACGCGGGCGCAGGGGGTGAACCGATTACGTTAGTTTTCGCGAGAGCGCGCCACTTTTACTTTGTACTCATCACGAGCCGCGAGCCGACTAGATCTAAAATTCGACTTTTCTTTTACCTGCGTTATAAAGTGGTCTTCGAGCCGAATTATACTGTTATATCTATGTTCACCACACCTCCATCATCTACAATGGTCAACACGCGAAGTACAGTGCGTAAAGAACGCGAAATGTCGAAACATATGGAAGCGTCGACCAGCCAACCGTCAACTTACCAGCCAAACGTGCAGACAGCTGAAGAGTCTGAAAATAATACGTTGATTAAGAAGGAAAATATAAGAAGAAACCTAGATAATAAAGCATTGTTACCTGAAAAGTGTAAAAAAGTAGATGACACGCCCGTTGAAATACCCACATCAAAAAAAAGTGAATCTAAAAAATCTACATCTTCTTCTATAAAGGCTCGAAAAGCTAAGCTGGAATTATTAGCAGCAGAAGCTAAGGCTAAAATACAGATGGAATTAATTGACAAGAGGTTGGCAACCGACTTAGCAGATTTAGAAGATGAGCAAAGTGAACCTCGAGATAATTACTCACATAGTACGGTGAACAGGTGGTTAGAACGCAGTCAGCAAGAAATGGAAAAGGTGCAGCCAGTCAACGAGCATGGTAATGATTTAGGCGAGCTGCATCACCCAGGGTCAGTTCACCCTGGAACTTCACATGGAACAGTCCAGATGCTGGCTAGTGCACTAAGGGATCTCGCCGCCTCCTCCAACAATACTACTTCTAACGCTAAATTACTGAGCCGCTTAAGCACGCCTCGAGACTTACCTGCTTTCTCCGGCGACCCCATGGAATGGCTGCAGTTTAAACAAGCATATGAAGAGTCAACGGAAGTGTGTAATTTCAGCTCTAAAGAAAACCTGTGGAGAATACGTAAGTGTCTTCGTGGACCCGCCAGGGATGCTGTCGCAGCCCTCTTAATCAGTGCCACGGAACCTGAGAAAATAATGGCTACATTAGAGCTACGATTCGGTAATCCCGACGGCATTGTGATTAAGATTATGCAAGATATTAAAAAACTGTACCCAATTTCACAAGATTATCAGAAGGATATTGTTTCATTCTCAGTAAAAGTACAGAACTTCAAAGAAGCCATTAGATCCGTCAAACGCGATGAATATCTACAAGGAATGAATATAGTGTCGCTCATTTTGTCTAAATTACCTACAGTCCTACTCTCAAAATGGTCAGACTATAGTTTCCCGCTTATCACCGAGGGCAAGAAGTCACGATTGGATATTTTAGCAGATTTCTTACAAGAAGAAGCGGTGAAAATCTCGACGACATCTAATATTCATCTCATCGGCAATAACTTCAACCGCGTACATAATACGGTGCTAGTGACAACAGACAATCATGACTTTAAGTGTTTATACTGCCGTGTTTCTAAACATAAGCTAACAGAGTGCAAGCGCTTTAAAAAATCACTACGAAAAGATCGGTGGCGTCACGTTAAACGACACGGCATCTGTTATAAGTGTTTACTATCGCGTCACGATCGAGATACATGTCCGGCCGCGCCGTGTGATATCGAGAACTGTGGACAGTCGCATCATCGGTTATTACATTATCCTATAACAAAAGATATTCGTTCCCCGGGTAATATAAACATTAAGGAAATAACAGAAAGTGCAACAGTGACGAACATTAATTTATCTAACTGTAAAGTGTTTTTGAAAACCGTGCCTATCAATATTCATGGGCCAAACGGTGTAATTAGTGCTACCGCTTTGCTAGACGACGGGTCGACCGTATCGTTAATAGATTATGAACTTGTAAAAAAACTCGGACTAAATGGACATAAACAAATTATGCGTGTGAGTGGTGCATGGAACAATAACTCATTAGAATGTGTTTGTGAGATAGTAGACTTAAGCGTGTAAAACAAAGACGGAACTATGTTTCCTATTCGCGTGAGAAGTGTAAAAGACTTAAACTTACCTGTACATGATTCAACGTCGATTGATCTTACTAACTATGTACATTCTATACCTGACATAAAAAATTGTTTAAATAATGAACTCTGTAAACCTAAAATATTAATTGGTCAAGATAATTATGATTTATTGTTACCGCTTCAAGTAATAAAATTAAAAAATAGTAAATTATATGTTACACGTACTGAGTTAGGCTTATGCATTCATGGATGTTTACGCGAACCATCCCCGCTCCACCAGACCCCGCCCATTAAGCGAGTACATCATTCAGCGTTATTCATTACTAACGATTCAGATAGAGAATATGAAAATAAGTTACGAAATTTAGAAGAACAAATACGAATATCATTTACAATCGAATCAATGGGCATCAGCATGAGACCCAGGAAAAATCCAGAAGATCTTCAAGCTATACAATATTTAGAAAAAACATCTGTACTTAAAAATGGAAGATGGCATGTCGGTTTACCCTGGAAAGATAATAACTGTAAACTACCAAACTCGTACCCTAACGCCGCACTAAGATTAAAAGGAGTACAGAAGAGACTGAAGATAGATAAAGCTTATGCTAGAAGATACACTGAAAGAATAAACCACTTACTTGAGAACGACTATGCTAAAAAACTTACCTGTCAAGAAGATACCTCGAAAACCTGGTACCTTCCGCACTTTGGAGTCGATAACCCTAATAAAAAGAAATTACGTCTAGTTTTCGACGCCGCTGCAAAGACCTGTGGAGTTTCGTTAAATGACTACCTCCTGAAGGGTCCGGACCTACTTATGGCATTATTTGGCATCATGTTGAGATTTCGAGAGAATAAAATAGGCATAACCGGAGATATACGAGATATGTATTTAAGAATAAAAATTTTACCTAAAGATCAAGATGCTTTAAGATTTCTCTGGAGGGACAACCAAGAACAAAATGGCCCTATTGATATATACACTATGACGTCTTTAATTTTTGGTGCTAATTGCTCGCCCTTTATTGCTCAATTTATAAAAAATAAAAATGCAAAGCAGTATGAGTCATTATACCCGGCCGCCGTGGACGCTATTCATAAGCAACACTATATGGATGACTATATAGATAGTATAGAAAATGAAGCTACGGCTATTAAAACTATACAAGATATTATATATATACATAAAAAAGGTGGCTTCGAGATAAGAAACATAACGAGTAACAACGAAGCGGTATTAAACTGCATTCCACGAGAGACCTTAGGAACGACTGCAGTAAGGTTCAAAATTGAACAGCCAAATGAGGGCGAACGTACACTTGGATTGATTTGGTATCCGAAAGAAGATCTGTTGTCTTTTGACGTTTCTTTTAAGAAGATTCCTGTAGATATAATAACAGGCGACACGCGACCTAGCAAGAGACAGATGCTTAAAGTTTTAATGTCAATTTTCGATATATTTGGATTTCTTTCGCCTTTTACAATCAAAGGAAAAATTATGTTACAAGACGTATGGAGATTACAATTAGATTGGGATGAAAAAATACCTGATACTATTTATGAAAAATGGATTGAATGGCTACAATTATTAAAAGAAATTAATCAGCTGCGTATCCCAAGGCATTATGTAACGGCCGCAAGAGTAAACGAGACGGAACTACGCTGCACTTCCGATGCGATTACGCATACGTCACCCGAGCGGCCGCCGTTGCCAGTGTCTTGTATTAGCGAATCTCTCGCGTGCGCGTCTAACGGGCAGATAACTTAATGTTATACAAACCTACAGCTACATATATTTTGTGACGCTTCGACTAAAGCAATGTGCGCCGTAGCTTACTGGCGTTGGACAGTGAATAATCGCTATTATGTTACGTTCGTCGCGAGTAAATGCAAAGTTGCTCCGCTTAAATATCAGTCAATACCTCGCATGGAATTACAAGCTGCGTTGCTTGCTGTGAGATTAGCAGATACTTTATGTAAAGAACTTAAACATAAACCTTACGAAAGATATTTTTGGTGTGACTCAAGTGTTGTACTTCATTGGATTCGAAACAATATGCGCAATTATACAGCGTTTGTCGCTCATCGCTTAGGAGAAATAGATGAATTGTCAAAACCAAACGAGTGGCGTTACATACCTACGAAACTTAATAGTGCGGATATCGCCACCAAGGAGACTTGTGATTTATCTGTGTTAAAGAATGAGTGGTTTTATGGTCCGGCGTTTCTTCGTGATCGAGATACTGAATGGCCAGTAGACACACAGCTACCGGAGACGCCCCATCTGGATCTCGAATATACTATGACCATGCAAACATACAATAAATCCTTACCAGCTGTTCCTGATCCTGAAAGGTTTTCATCTTGGTTACATCTATTGAATTCAACCTGTAAAGTACTTACCTTTATTAATAAATGCAAGAAACTGGATACTAGCGTTGATGGATACACAAGGGCGGCTGCTGAGCGATGGCTAATAAAATACTCTCAGCTACAGTCCTTCCCTGGGGATATAGCCAACCTGGAAAATAAAAAAGAAATAGATAAAAAAAGTAGATTACTTACCTTATCCCCTTTTCTGAATGAGCACGGAATCCTATGCGTGGGAGGCCGTATAAATGCAGCTACCGAGGTTCCTCTGCATCTGAAACAACCTGTTATATTAGATGGACGTCATCACGTTGCCCGGCTTATTGCACGATATTACCACGTGAGAGCGGCGCACGGTCACAATGAAGCTGTTGTTAATGAACTGAAACAGAAATATTGGATATTAAAGTTAAGACCGACAGTAAGAAGAGTGGCTTCACAGTGTATGTTTTGTAGAATAAGAAAAGCACAACCGTGCCCACCCAGAATGGGTGATTTACCTGCGGCCAGAATGGCATCCAGATGTCGCCCTTTCACACATTGTGGTATAGACCTATTTGGACCAATGGAAATTACTGTAATAAGACGCAGAGAGAAAAGATATGGTGTATTATTTACATGCCTTACCGTAAGAGCTATTCATATAGAACTAGTACCTTAGTTGACCACGGACTCCTTGATCATGGCCCTCAGACGCATGGCTGCTCGTCGAGGCTGGCCTCAATTTATTTACTCAGATAACGGTACGAATTTAAGAGGTGCCGATAACGAGCTGAAAAAGGCAACGCTCGACTTGGATGAACATATATTAAAAGCTGAGGCCGTCAACTATGGAACTACATGGACCTTCATTCCTCCAGCTAGTCCTCACTGGGGTGGAGCTTGGGAGCGCCTCATTCGTTCTGTAAAAGACTCATTAAAAGTTGTCTTAAGACAAAGGGCGCCGCGTGAAGAAACATTAATAACGTTAATGACTGAGGTTGAGCAAATAGTTAACAGTCGACCCCTTACACATGTGACGGTTGAGCCTAATAGTAATGAAACAATAACCCCTAATCATTTTTTGTTAGGTTCATCATCCAATCTACCTATTGTAGGTGTCTTTGATGATTCCGACTTATATTTACGAAAACAGTGGAGGCTAACACAGAGGTTAGCGGACATGTTTTGGAGGCGCTGGGTGAGAGAAGTGTTACCTACTATGCTTCCCAGACAGAAGTGGAACCGCGACACAGAACCATTAAGAGTCGGGGACTTAGTATTAATCGCTGACCCCGAAAGCCCTAGAAATACCTGGCCCAAGGGCATCACACAAAGAGTAATCCCCGGAAAGGATGGCCGGGTACGAGTGGTTGAAGTAAAAACCAAAACCAGCTTGTTACAACGTTCGGCAGCACGCGTCGCTAAAGTACCTATGGATGTTGAGTGCTGATGTAGCACTGGGGTGGAGATATTGTAAGCGACGCATTATAAAAAAAGTATTATATTTGTATATTTTATTTAGTTATGTTTGTAGTAAGTATAAAAATGTTATTAAAGTTATGGTAAACGGTTTGTAAGCGACGTATTATAAAAAGTATTATATTTGTATATTTTATTTTGTTATGTTTTGTAGCAAGTATAAAAATGTTATTAAAGTTATGGTAAACGGTTTGTAATGAGTGTGAACGATATGGATGCGAAGGGGACGCGGGCGCAGGGGGTGAACCGATTACGTTAGTTTTCGCGAGAGCGCGCCACTTTTACTTTGTACTCATCACGAGCCGCGAGCCGACTAGATCTAAAATTCGACTTTTCTTTTACCTGCGTTATAAAGCCGTTAGATTCGGGAAGAGGACCTAGGGCATCTACATGGATGGTTGTGAATGGAGTTTCGGGTTTATCCCAAGACGTTATATTTTGATTTGGGGCTCTAGGAACTCTTTTCTTTGATACGCAGATGAGACAATGATCTATGTATTTTCTTATAAATTGTCTAAGGCCCGGAAACCAAAAGTAGCGAGTTATCAAATCTAAAGTTTTATCATAACCGAAATGACCATGTTCGTCGTGAAAGACACGAAGTAAACTAAGGCGGTGACCTTTGGGTATAAAGCACAGTAGTCTAGACTCATCACCTACTGGGGAATATTTATAAAACAAAATACCATTTTGTTGAACGTACCTATTAGAGTCAAGGTTACCTTCATTTAGTTGGGTTATGAGCTTTTGAGTCTCATCATCTGCCTCCTGTGCTATCTGAGCCCAATTGCGTGGTCGCGAAATGTTGTATACTTCTACGGGAGGATTCCGGCTCAGGTAATCAGCGTGGGACATCATAGCACCCTTCCTATATTCTATTTCAAAAGTAAAGTCTTGGAGGTATACCCACCAACGGGCTACTCTCGGAAGGAGATCTTTTTTTTCTTTGGTGGCCTTAAGGGCATTGCAATCGGTCACTATCTTGAATTGGATCCCAATTAAGTAGTGTCTGAAATGTTGTAAAGATTTCACTACCGCCAAGGTTTCCAATTCATATGAATGATACCGATGCTCTGCACCTTGAGTCACTTTACTAAAATAAGCGACCACCGTTTTGTTACCTTTTTCATGAGTCTGTAGCAGTACAGCTCCGTAGCCAACACTACTAGCGTCGGGGTGAACTTCCGTGGGAAGCTTAGGGTTAAAAATAGTCAAAACTGGTTCAGTAGTCAAGAGTTTTATTATGTCTTGACGAACGGCCTCTTGCTCAGTGCCCCAATGGAAAGTGACGCCTTTTTTGGTTAACTGAGAGATGCAACGCGTTTTAACAGCGTAACCCTCAATATAGCGCCTAAAATAGCCAGCCAGCCCTAGGAACTAGCGAACTTGCTTTACGGTCTTCGATACCGGTGAATCTACGAGTGCTTTAATTTTACTAGGGCTCGGCCTGACCTGACCTTTACGTATTACTCTCCCTAAGTATTCAACCTCTTCCGTTAAAAACGCGCATTTTTTTATATTTACTGAAAATCCGGCTGTTGTTAAAGTAGTAAGTACTTCGCGTAACAGATCAATTCCTTCACGCACCGAGGAGCTCATTAGGAGTACGTCGTCGATGTATACTAAGACATTACCTGCATCTATATGTTTGCGTAGTGTTTTATTTATTATTCGTTGGTAAACGATGGGCGAATTACTAAGTCCAAAAGGCATCTTGAGATACTCGTAATGACCTTCCGGTGTGACAAAGGCGGTTTTATGAATGGAATCTGAATGAACTCTGATCTGGTGGAAGCCAGTGGCCATATCAAGTGACGTGAAGCGCGTTATTTCTTTACGTCCTAGTCTATCAATATGATCATCGATTAGGGGAAGCGGGTACCTATCCTTAACTGTTATTTTGTTCAACGCACGGTAGTCGACACACATTCGGTCAGAGCCGTCTTTCTTTTTGACTAAAATAATCGGACTAGAGTATTCGGACTCTGACTCTCTAATGATACTCTTTTGTAACAAGTCGTTAACGATTTCCCTAACCTTTAATTTTTCGGCCTGAGAAAGTTTGTAGGGTCTATATGTGATCGGGACATCACTAGTGAGGTTGATACGCATCTCACCGGTAGTTACCGTGGTCGTCGCCGTTCCTGATATAAAAAACTTGGAAAAATCATTTATAACCTCTCTTAGACTATTAAGCTCTTCGCCAAATAACGGCGTGTTAATTTTAATTTCGTTGGTCGCCCGATTCACGTCAGCGTTAGAGACAACGTTAATGGAACGAGTGAGACATTGTTTGTCTTTGGTCCTTACGTACGTTATTCCTTCTCTATTTAAGATATCAGTACCGATTATGATTGGGAACGAGATACAGTTTGATGGAACTACTACTAAATCTGCTTCTATGGCTATTTCACTAAATTCAAGAGTAAGAGTTACATAAGACCTAGCTACAATATCTTGATTGCTTAAACCTTTCAATGCGCAATTCGTGGGCTTAGCATTACAAGAAAAATATTTCAAAGCATCGGATGATATCAGAGAAATATTAATCGCACCACTATCTATAAGAACGTCCACGGGAATACCTTGTACTACCGCTGTGGTAATATCGTTATTTACAGCATCACCTACACGCTCACTACAGAGATTGACGTTTCGCTTATGTGGTCCCGACCTAGCTTTTGCAAAACAATCATTCTCCGAATGGCCAGGTTTCTTGCAAAATGTGCAATTAGTAATAGGAGTACTTTCTTAGATTTACGCGAATGTTTGACATTATTAAATAAAACTATCTTTTCGGATTATTTCGCGGATTTATTTTGATTTTTGGTTCCCGACGTTTCGAATGCTTTACAGCATCCATGGTCACGGGAGAGACTGTTTGCGGTTTCCAGTCCGTACTGGTTCACATAATACTTTCTTAGATTTACGCGAATGTTTGACATTATTAAATAAAACTATCTTTTCGGATTATTTCGCGGATTTATTTTGATTTTTGGTTCCCGACGTTTCGAATGCTTTACAGCATCCATGGTCACGGGAGAGACTGACCATGGATGCTGTAAAGCATTCGAAACGTCGGGAACCAAAAATCAAAATAAATCCGCGAAATAATCCGAAAAGATAGTTTTATTTAATAGTAATAGGAGATTTGGGTAGTTTTGGTATTGTAGGACAATGGTAACTTCGATGCCCTGGTTGTTTACAATTAAAACATATCTGATTTGAAAGAGGTGGGCGATTGCTAGAAAATTTCTTAGGCCGTACTATACGATTTTTTGACTTATGGGAGTTGTGGGTAGATGTCGATGCTTCGCGATCAGGTTTTTGATAAATCGAAAGGAACGAAACGATGGTTTCGGGAGAAAGGTCCGCGTTAGCAGCGGCAGCACGTACTTGAGCGTCATTAATGCCACGAATAACGATTAGAGTCATTAATTCTTCACTAAGCCCCTTAACTATGCGTAACCGTAGTATAGCCCGGCGCGCGTATTCGCTGTATGAGGAATATTTATCGGAGGTGGTACTCATCACGTCGAACAAAATACCTGCGTAGTCTAGTCGTCGAGGGCAGAGGGGTCTAAATTCGCGCTTAAAGCTACTCCACGATCTATCATCGGTAACCCATTCGTTTAACCAGACCCGTGCATTGCCCTTGAGACAACCCGCAACTCGCGATAAACATTCCCCATCATCCCATCGGTTAGCTACTTGCGCACGATCCACCTCACTACACCAGGCGTCAATGTCATGAATAGATGGATCAAAGTTCGAAATATAATAATTTTGAGTGCGTCCTGGAATAATGGAGTGGATCGCGTCAACTATTGCCTGGGCGGAAGACGGTACATTGTCCGATTGTATGGGGGTAGATTCAAGATTATTTTCAATAGATTTTAAGCGTGACATAATAGTGTCTAAAGTATGGTCAAACTTTGCGCTAGGCATCGGTGATTTACTCCCTAAACGCGATTGCGAACGATCACGGTCAGTATGTCGCCGGGTCCTTGAACACGATCGTCTCCGTGAATCATAACGCGAACGGGACCGTGGTACGGGTGACGAACGATAACGCGGCCTATTACGCGATTTACTACACGATTTATCACGCGATTGCCGATGTCGGCGTGACCTGCTACGTGAGTCGCGTTTTCTCGGCATATTTACACACAAAAATCACACAAATAAATAACACAAAAATGAACAAAACTAAAAATGGAAAAAAATGTGGGTAGTTTTGAATTGTTTCTTTATGAACGATAAAACGACGGCTAAACGGCTAAGGTAATGGGCCTGGATTGGTATCCCACTTCTGATATTGGATCAGAAGTGAAATATCAATTTAAAAAAAATATTTTATTGAACAAAAATTAGTCTTTAACATTAATTTTACAAGTAATCACAAATAGTTAACTTAACATTATTTAATTACAGTAATTAAAGCAAATAAAGAAACACTTCAACATATTCTAATAAAACGCAAATAATTAACACTCACAAGTCACGCCGATACACTGACCGACATAGCGACCGCACGCGAAGTTCAATACACCAAGAAGTAAACTGACACAATAGATGCACTGGCTTATATAGGAATTACCCCTAATCTTCTTACAGAGATCCTTATGATCTCCTACAATATATATAATCGATCGTCGTTGTGTAAATTGATATACATGAAGTAATAATATCTAATAACTCATTGGAATATTTTTCGCCAAACCTAACCCAAACTAAAAAAAAACAATATATATATATAATCGATCGTCGTTGTGTAAATTGATATACATGAAGTAATAATATCTAATAACTCATTGGAATATTTTTCGCCAAACCTAACCCAAACCAAAAAAAAACAATATATATATATATAATCGATCGTCGTTGTGTAAATTGATATACATGAAGTAATAATATCTAATAACTCATTGGAATATTTTTCGCCAAACCTAACCCAAACCAAAAAAAAAAAACAATATATATATAATCGATCGTCGTTGTGTAAATTGATATACATGAAGTAATAATATCTAATAACTCATTGGAATATTTTTCGCCAAACCTAACCCAAACCAAAAAAAAAACAAATATATATAATCGATCGTCGTTGTGTAAATTGATATACATGAAGTAATAATATCTAATAGCTCATTGGAATATTTTTCGCCAAACCTAACCCAAACCAAAAAAAAAAACAATATATATATAATCGATCGTCGTTGTGTAAATTGATATACATGAAGTAATTATATCTAATAACTCATTGGAATATTTTTCGCCAAACCTAACCCAAACCAAAAAAAAAAACAATATATAAATAATCGATCGTCGTTGTGTAAATTGATATACATGAAGTAATAATATCTAATAACTCATTGGAATATTTTTCGCCAAACCTAACCCAAACCAAAAAAAAAAACAATATATATATAATCGATCGTCGTTGTGTAAATTGATATACATGAAGTAATAATATCTAATAACTCATTGGAATATTTTTCGCCAAACATAACCCAAACCAAAAAAAAAAAAACAATATATATATATATAATTCTAATTACGCGCGAATATTTGTTCGAACATGAATGCTCAACGTTTGTCAAAGGAACAAAATCAGAATAAACAATCTTTTTCATCATATGTATCTGACCCTGAGCTACATACAAAAGATACAACTGGATCCCGGGAAATTGAGTCAAAACCCCCTAACTTCGTTTCCTACCGCTGTAAAAGGCCTAGAGAAAGCAACTCCCCTACTTCGCAGTTTGCTAGTTTCCAGGAGGAAATGAAAGAAATGATTTTAGCATTAGCTGCAGAGCAAAAACGGGACCTGGCGGGGATCGCAAGCAGTCTAACGGAAATCTCTTCATCTCATCTCGTCCTTGACATCTCAAAATGAAGAATTCTGTAAGAAGATTCAGCTGCTCGAGCAACAGGCTAAAAAAGACCGAGAATACATTAGTATTCTTGAGGATAAAATTGAGGACCAGCAAAGGATTGCACGCAAGTCGAGCTTAGAAATAAAAACTGTCCCTCGTCAACCTCAAGAAAGCCGAGATGACTTAATCAAAATGATGCTGTGTCTCTCTGAATCCATCAAGCTTGACATGAACGCGCGAGATATTAAAGATATTTTTAGAATTTAGACTAAAAGGGAACAAAGAACGAGAAAAAAAAACAACAATAATTATGGAACTGGGCTCGTCTATAATAAAAACAGACTTTTTGAAAAAGACTAATGATTTTAACATCAAAAACAAAAGCAAACTTCAGGCTAAACATCTTGGTTTTACATCTAAGTGATAAACTCCGTTATAATAAAACACTGCCGGTACTGTTCATTATCGATTTATTCACAGTCACCCAATTTACAATAATCAGGAGCCAACTATGCTTGACAAAATCAGAACGAAGAGTGACCCCCCACTGACGACATCATGGGTTTTTATAATACTCGTTTTATGTCAAAACAGCAACTAAAGTGTCAAGCATAGTTTTTACAAAATCCAATTGAAATACTTATTAAAATAGAAATTTAATATAATCTAACATTAAAATATAATATTAAGCTAACAGTTCGGCCATCCTATAATCAACGAGTCCCTTCGTTAATAAAATTATACAGTATAATATATTAATAACATAAGATGTCCTCTTACGATAATAATTAACTATATTCAAAAATAATTTGCATAATAAATAATTTATTAAATGAAATGCCTTAAAATAACTATAAAAATTAATATAAATTTCCTTCTTATTTCACAGAATACATCAAATCTGTTGCACTCCTTAGTTGGCTTATCGGCCTCATGTGCAAACAGATTATATATCATGCGAGCTTGGTACACTCATAGTTGACCTATCGGTCTCATGTGCACCAAACTCTATCATTATCCATATCCAGTTCACAAGTCCAGTCCATTTCCAATGTCATTGTTAATTCATATCTTATTTATCATTACCATCGTCGTTACTATCAATTACTTCATTATCTAATTCATTATTAAATTTTCCTTGTAAACGTTTACAATTGGGAGCCGAATGACCTAGGCGTTTACATATTGTGCAAGTTATCAAAGGCTTTAAGCATTTAAAACTAGGATGTCCTTCTTCACCACAGTTAAAACATTTTATTTCAAATGATCGCGTTTTAACAACATTATTTGTGAAGTTTTTACTTTCAACTATTTTTTTATCTTTGTTGTCATCAAATTTGTGAATGATTGATTTGAAGTAAGCTAGCAAATCTTCTGGTACTGAGAATTTTGCGGCTTGGGCCCCTAATCGTGTACTACGGTCATCTATTGCGGCAATTATACAATCTATTGCTTTCTTTCCATAAATTTCACATCTATTTAATAAATTAATTTTGTGATAAAAATACGTTTCTAATGATTCATTATACTTTGGTTTCCTGTCCAACATTTCATGTAAAAGATGTGCATAGTTTTGAACGGTTGGAAAGGCTTTATGTAATTTTTCTTTCCATTCATTCCAAGTATAATTTACCGAAGGTAGACCCTGGTACCAAACTTTAGCTACCCCAGTTAATTTAGGCAGACTATAATGAAGTAATTGAGTTTCCGACCAATTATATAATTTAGAACATTCTTCTACTTTAATTAACCATGTGTCTATTGTTTGTTCTTTGTTCGCGGGATCAAATTCAGGAATTGCGTTTGACGTCATCGAAAAATGATTTTGTGACGACGTTGAAGGTAATGCCTTGATTAAACTTATTATTTCTTGCGCAGTAAATGTCGGTTCTACTTTGTCGGTCCTAGTGTCAAGTTGTGGTGTAGTATTTCTCGAAAAATTGGGGCGTCTAAACTCAAGTTCCTCTTCACTATTAGTATCCGAAGTCTCACTTACCAGGACTCGTCTTCGTTTCCTGTGATGTAGAACACCCAAAGATCGTCGACTTGTGGAGCTGGCTTCAAAAGGAGTCCTCGAAGTTCGCAGATGTGATCTCGAACGATGTCTGCTAGGATAACGTGTTCTTCTAGCCACATCTTGCTCAATCAAGTCACGGCGGCGTGATGTAGATTCTCGATTACGTCTCGATTGACGACGATAATTGCTGCTTCTGTCACTCATTATCTGAAACTTTTACCTATTTGTCTTAGTTCATATGTTATTTTAAATAATCAATTACCCTATTTAAGTCGATACTTAGGTAATTAAATTATGCAAAATAATATTAAAATATTATTTAAAAAAAATATATTTCATATAATGCTGTCAACATTTAAACACAAATGTGTTTTAACTAACAAATCACAAAAATAATTAAATAAATATATAGTAATATTTTAAACATAATAAATGAAAATGATACTGACCTGCTATAATTTTTTTTTTTTGAACGTAGAGAACATCCCACTTCTGAACTGATAAACTCCGTTATAATAAAACACTTACTGTACTGTTCATTATCGATTTATTCACAGTCACCCAATTTACAATAATCAGGAGCCAACTATGCTTGACAAAATCAGAACGAAGAGTGACCCCCCACTGACGACATCATGGGTTTTTATAATACTCGTTTTATGTCAAAACAGCAACTAAAGTGTCAAGCATAGTTTTTACAAAATCCAATTGAAATACTTATTAAAATAGAAATTTAATATAATCTAACATTAAAATATAATATTAAGCTAACATAAGGAAGAGACGCCCATATACATATCGGAACAGCTCACTGCTAGAGGTGCCCGGCTGTTTTTCCTGGCGCGTGACCTGGCGAAATCAAAACTATACAAATTCTGTTGGACGTCTTTCGGCAAGGTTTTTGTGAGGAAAGACGATAACTCTAAAATAATTTTAATTAACAGTGAGGCACAAATACATCACCTATTACAATGTATATGACTACTTTTATCTATTACTAAATTTGATATGTTATTTTGTGCCTTTTTCTCTTTATCATTCATAGTGCTATATTATGTAAATACATGTAAGTACAGTCTACATCTTATTGTAAAATACAAAACCTCTGTTTTTATAGATTACTCATGTTATGTTCTATGTATTTATTATTAATTAGTATTTATTAGGACTCGGGTGTAAATGAAACAAGCGTTCACGTTGAAGCCATTGACCAGACGGAAGTGTCTATTTTTTATTTCTTAATACTAATTAACCATAGACAATAATGAGGTTTACACACTATCCAACCCCTCCCTTACAAAATAAAATTTTACGCAGAATTACAATTGTTGAAGGAATACAAAATTATTTTACAAATTATTGTTGTTACATTACACACATAGTTATAACTATTATACCTTATACATTTACAATATATATATATATCTATTACATTTTTCCTTCGAACAAACAAAAAAAAAAAAACATTTATTATACAATTTTAATATTATGTATACATTGTGCTTGCAACACTATGAAGAAATGACATCTTTTTTGAAGTTGACAATTACTGACATATGACAATGACAAGTGACGTTTGATTATGATTTTGACAGTTTGACTATGACATCCTTCCCCTCAAAGTCCCCCGTCCCATTGATGTTAATTGTTTGTTAATGTTTGTGTTTAGTCCTTTATGTAAATTTTTATGTAAATATATTAAGAGTAATGGAATTAGATTATAGACTAACAATTTTATAATATATTTAGAACTTACTAACTGCTTATTTTTAATTATGGTTTTTATGTATATAATAATTGTGTTGTCTTTTGTTGTAGATCCAAGGTTCATAGAGGAGTTACTAACCTTTTTTACACTTTTTAATTAATGTAAACAGTTTAGTAATCTCATTTAATACCGACCAATCTCCTTCGTGTCTTCTCCATTCTACGTGACATTGGCAAAGTAATCTGTGCTCAACTGGCACGTTTTGAAGCCATTAGCAAGAGAATTGAATTGAATTGACTATGACAAGTGACAAATTAATTTAAATTTTTGAAATTCAAACTAATGTAATTATCAAGTAAAATAAACGAAAATTACCATAATAAGACAAAGTTACGAAATAACTAATTGAATCTATCGGGCTTACGAATTTGACGACCAAATCTGGAATATTTTATTGAAGAATCGGTTCTAGAAGACAAAGTTGGATTGGAATTTGATGAAATATGATGTGAATTGGCTGATGGCTTTGATTGAAATTGAATAGTCGGTGCATGTTTTGGTGAATGAATGTGTTCTCTATTTCTACGAAATTCACCTTCTGGACTTGAAATTATATAAGAACGTGGCTCTGGGCCTACTTTAGAAATGATTCCTGGAATCCAAGCATTATAATTGTTATGTGGTTGTTTTTTGAAGTAAACTTTTTCACCCTGTTTTAAAGAAGGAAGTGACTTTGTATGTTTATTATAATAAAGTGATGTTCTTTGTTTATGTATATCAATGTGTTGTTTCATTCTCCTATAATCAATACATTTAGGTTTCAAGTTAGAATCTGAGATAGGTATCCTAGTTCTAAGACTACGTGACATACACAGTTGTGCTGGAGAATAACCACAGCTTTTAGGAGTATTTCTATATTGTAATATGGCAAGATAAGGATCTTTTTTATCAGAATAACATTTCTTTAAGATATTCTTTATAGTTCTGATTGAACATTCAACTAGTCCATTTGAGCGACTATGATATGGGCTAGAAGTTATATGTTGAATTTGGTATTCTCTCATAAAATCACTTAGTTCATTTGAATTAAATGGAGGACCATTGTCACTTATGACAATATGAGGGATTCCATGACGTGCAAAAATAGACTTTAAATGAGTAATGACAGTACTAGAATTAGATGAGTTTAAAAGTGCTATTTCTGGATATTTTGAAAAGTAGTCTACGACAATTAAGTATTTTTTATTATTTATATCAAACAAATCCATACCTACTTTATTCCATGCTAAAAG